AAAACAATTACATTGCAGCAGTATAAGCAGACAGACATGCTGTAAATACAAAACATCCTTTGGAAATATATGCTCCATATTCTAAATACATTTAGAATTAAGGCAAACAATTCTTTTCTAATTGGGATTCAACGCAGACATGCCGATGGGATTTTTTTTTTTTCCTTCTGCTTCTGCTTTTTGTTTAGCAGACATATAAAGGCACTGTGTTAGTCAATATGTTATCGCCACACTCAGGCTAACATTGGAGGAATGGCAGGGGAGAACTGACCCTCGCACTCGGTCTGTAACTCTCCCCATTGCAGCTGGTTACTTTTGTCCTTCTGAGGTGAAGGCAGATGTGAAGTGGGGGTTTTGGGTGGGTTTTTGGCACTGGAGAGGACCGCAGGACTCCTGAAGCACAAAACCAGAGCTTCTACTGCTCGTGCTTAAGGGACGCAGCAGCTCTGTTGAGCTCAAAAGCTACAGCTGATTCAATACCCTCAGTGTGCTCTGGTCACTAGGGGGGAACATAGGACTGCAGAGCGTGTGGGTCACTGACACGCTCCTTATGAAAACTGCAAATGCTTCAGGGTCTGCCTCCCTGAAATCCTGCTGCTTCTGCTGCAGCAGAAGCTGGAGAAGCAGCTGGATATAGAAGGGAAAGGACCCATGGCTTTCTTTTTCTATACCTTTATTTGCTGGAGAAGACCCAGGGTTGATATTTGGGGCATGTTGCAATCCTTTCCCCCATACTGTCAGGACTAGGCAGACGGTCATGCTAAGTGGTGGGATGTTGATTTGCCAGGGGTTATTTTAAATTACTGAGTTTGAAATATGTTTCTGAACTCGGTTCAGAGAGCCTAGAACATATGTATGTACAATTTTTTAGGAGCGTCATTCTTCCTTTGAGGTGTTTTATGCAGTGCATGTCCTTAAGCTGCTCAAAGAAGGAAAATTTGGCCATTTGCTGCTACCTAGTCCAGCCCCTCAGGGAGAAAGGGAACCAGGCAGGCTGGGAGAGTTTCTTAGTTTCTACCATCCGTCATCCAGTTCAACAGGAAAAGGAGATGCGTGGGGGGGGGGAAGCAAGGCTCTGAAGAAACGTATTTGAAAATCTAGTGTTTTCTGGGAACAGAGGTATCTTCTTTATATTTATTTTAAAATCATTCTCCTGCTGATTCTGGCCATGACTGTTAAGGTTATTGTGAGATGTTCTAGCATTTCCTGTAAGCATTCATCCTATTTCCACTGGTCTTAGTGGACATTTTACCATTGTCTTTAATAAGAGTGACTAAGTTGTAGAATTTAAGGACAGTAGGGTGAGCTAAGGTTAAGAAAGGTGAGCACCAGTATCCATCAGAAGTGGAAGTACACAGTATTGCCCAAGGCAGAAGATCAGGACAATGCCTTTCTTCAAAGACAGAAATAACCAAAATTAGACATTGTGGGGGTGGGGGGGTGGGGTGGGAGAAAGAGAGACAGGAAAGGAATAAAAGCGAGATCTTCCAGAGATTATAAAGCCAAACTTAGCAGTTCTTTACTGCAGCTCTCAAAAGTTTAGAAGTGCAGCCTGTAACGATGAAATGCATGGCTTGGGGGGGAGAGCTAAATCAGGCTCCTAGCACAGACCAAAGGGTTATTCTATATATATGTTTGTCACTGCAAGTAACGGCTGTGAAGCAAACAAAGGGGAATACAGCTGATGTTTAACAGCCACTGTACAACCACTAAGCTACTTCTGCCTCGTATCTGGAAGCTTATATGCGGAACATGTGGTAGGTGTCTCTTCTCCACGCTGGTGGGTTATAAACCTGAGTTTCCCCTAGATATGCGCCTTTTCCATGCTTGTTCTTACTGTGTGTAAGTAAGAAACATGGGTTCAGGATGGAGCTTTAGATTTATAATAATTGAATTTCCATTCATGTTTTCAGTGAAAACACTAGTTTGCATGTAGCAGAGCAGGAGCTTGCAAGAACACAACCACTCTGTGCATGTGTAAAAGTGCAGATATATGTATACACACAGGTATACATGCCATAAATAAAACAAGCATACTTCTGCCATACCTCTCTTAGAGCTTCTGGTCTGAAGAGAACATGAATTTTCCTGTGTATTTGTCTTCTTTACACTGTCTTCTCTCTTTGCACTGATCTGATTTGCTTAGAGTAACAGGAAGACACAAACAACACATGGGGTATGGAGGGAAATAAGCACTTGTCTTTACGTTTTGCCTATCTATATACCATTAGCTTCACACAAAACATGACTCACTAGCAGCAGGTGTCCTGCTGTTATGTTGGGCAGATTAGTAATGATAGGGAGGGGGCTGCTTCCCTATATGGCATCCCCGAGGGAAGCTAAAAATAGTTCAGAGACTTCCAGCAAAGTAAAAGTACTTGTGGGCTTTGAACGAAGTCTGCTTCGGAAGGTAAGAATCGGAGCTGATCTGTTTAATCTGCCGTTCCTTCTTTTTTTCTTTCTTTTTTTTTCTGTGTGAAGCTTGCCTTGGCAGTTGATCGGCAAATATTATCTGGCACAAGGCTGGGAGTTTGGAATTATAAACAGTTGCTTTCCGTGTTTGTGGAAACAGGGTGGGGATTGGGACCAGTTAAAGGAAATCAGTTAAAGGAAATCAGTGTAACAGAGAGCCTTCGCAGCCAAGGCAGAGACAACAGAGGAATGGGTCTCAGTTAGAAATAGTTGCCTTTTTCTCTCTCTCTCTTTTTCCCCCTCTCAGTTGTTAGAGAATCTGAACGGCAAATGAGCAATCACAGCATGTGACTCTGCTCCGAGTAGCAGGCAAGCTATTGCTGATAGTTACACCCACCGCGACACAAGTCCAGTAAGAAAAGTTGTCTGCAAAGTTATTGTAGCAGCAGAATATGAAAAGAGAGGAACTGTTTGCATTTCCGAGATACATGCAAATCAGGGTGCTACGTGCGCTCCATGGAAGTGTGGCTGAGGAGACGTTTCAGCTTTGCTGGTAAATGTCTGCATATCTATACACTCAGACACACTGATAAGCAGACTAAAAGGAAAAATACTGTTTCAGGGGAAGACTGTGGAGGATAGTTATATGTGCGTGTGTGTGTATCCGCATGCATCCACATCTGCATGTATGCAGGGAGATTGCGAGTTGCTGGACTGCAGAAAAGCCCTACAAGCCTTGCATTGAGCCACCACCTACATGGCTTTGTGCAACACAGAAATGGAGACGTAAGGGCTGAGTCTCGCTTCTGAAAAATGAGATACCAGGGCTGCTCGTTACACTAGAATAACCTCACAGGCCGTGATGGATTTCCTCGGATTTTTTGAGTGGCATCACTGATATTGATAACAAGTGACTTCTGTTTGTGGAAACCGGATAAAAATCTGACTGGCCTGCACGGGGCATCTCTGAGGACAGCGGCGTGCGTTGCACACCCGTGTGAGCATGTGTGCGCACCCTCCCAGAAAGCTGCCGTCTAGTCTTTGAAACCTCCCTGACTCCGAGCCCTGGTGGATAAGGATTTTCTGTGCGTGTCTCCTTCTCTGCCCTTGTTTAAGGCTGGTTTTGGCAAACGACTTCCAGAGGGGTGAGCGTGCCCAGGGGCCCGGCTGCGGTGCTGCGGGGGTGGAGATGGTGCGACTGTGATCGTCGCGGGGCTCCCGCTGCCTGAGCTCCTGCAGCAGGTGTTGAGAGCCCATCAGCGGCGTCCCTTGGATACCTGGGTTGTTGCTGGAATTAGTACCGATTCCTGGCTGGGCCAGTAACTCCCTCAGCCAGGCGTTACGGGGGAAGGGGGGGGACCGGCAAAGTGCAGAAGCAATGTAATTTTAGCTCTGTTATGCTGGGCCAGCTTCTCCTAACATCAGTGTCAATGGCAAAACCGACGTTAATTTGAGTGGGAAAAAGACTGAACCCAAATTAATATATGCTGGCCTGTGTAATTATCTTTATTGCCTGATAGGGAAGGAAGACCTTGTTCGCTCAATGCATTTCTACGGCTGCCTGGCTGCGCTCCAGTGATGCACCAGCCTCCGAGCAGACGGGCTGGGAGAGCGCGACGGGAGTGCTGTATCCGTTCACGAGGGGCTGTAATTCACTGTCATCCCCCAGTGATTAAATCCTGCTTATTTCAAACTGACAGGTAACGGAGTAACACCCACAAATATGGTGGGTAGGATTTAGCTCCAGGTGCTTGTGGAAAAACTTTTCCTATCGAGTCCAAAGTTCAGAATCCTGTGAACGGCCACAGAGGAAAGCATGTAGGTTTTAGTCAGTGTTAAATGTTGCATTTCTAGTCTGGTAAAAAGAGCGAAAATTTAAGAAAATGGCTGTATGCTTAGAAGCACAAGAAGACAGGGCAGCTTTGCTAAGTGCTAAGGATGGACATAAACTGAAGAGAAATCCTGTTTGGCAGCACAGAGAATCTGCTGGGGTTGGCAGTCTGAAACCTGCTCCACGATAATTGTTTTCTTCTCCAATAAACCAATGTATTGATTAGGGTAAGCAGAAAGGATCAGTCCCGATGGAGCTCTGCAGGGCATTTTACCACACTGCTTAGTTCAAATGGTCACAGCTGATACTCGTGTTTTCCTCTGCTGAGCAAACTGGATATGACAGAAGACAATGTAATTTAGGGTTTTTTCCTCTTTCTCAAAATGAATTGCTACGTGTGATTTCATATGCTCACACTTGCATATTTATGGGGAGTCCCAAAACCTAATTTCCATTGTGCTGGTTCCTGTTTAGCACAGACTTAATTTTGCAACTTTTAAATAAATTCTCTTGACAAAATAATATTATGGCATATTGAAACAAAGCAGACATTTTAATAGAAGCATCTGAATAATCAATTCTTCCTGAAAGCACACATCAGTGCTACCTTTGTGGTAGCTAAATGACCAGTTAAAGTAAGCAACGTAGGCCCAAGATGGCATAGAAATGTAGAGTTATTCCTGACCCTTGCGTGGGCTCTCCAATGCTCTTGAATCTCCCTATTTGCTATGAGAGGGTGCACAAATGATTTGCAATTGAGAGGACTCTCTAGCTTGTTTACTCCTCGTAATAATGATTCATGACAAGGACATCAAGATGCAAACCATGCCAGGCAAGCTCATAGGAAGGAGGCTACCACTGTGGATGCTGTCAGTAATCTTCCTGCAAAGACTATAGCGATTCTTTGGGCTAGTCTTCTTTAGCTGGCCATCTGCTTTGCATTCCCTGGTGGTACTTCGGTTTGCATCTCCGCTTTGTTTGTCATTTCGGTCTCCCACTTTATTATTTCCAGAGCCAAGTGAACCGCTGCCAATGCCAATGCAATGAGATTGCATTGTGAGCTTTGTGACATGGTATACTTTTTTTTATCTTGAAGCCTCAGCTCCTGGAATTAGTTGATTATGTTAGAATCCCAGCATTCATAAAAAAAAAAAAAAAAGGAAGAGAAAAAAAAAAGTGGATCTCTGCTCCTCATGAACTAAGGAAAAAGCTTGAAAAAAAGGGATCCCTGCAGACTTAGTAATCACAAGCCAAATAAAAAGAGGCTTCTTTTTTTTTTTCCAACATCAGACTGTTTTACAGACAATCATCCTATTTCTGAGTCTCTCACTCACAGTTTTTGAGTGCTGGGTGCTGGCAAACCTGAGCAGCAGCTGTTCATTTCTAAAGGCAGGGAAAATAAGTAGAGTCATCTCTAACAGGAAAAGTTACTTTATCTTTGCCTGCACTGCCTTTCCCTCTGCCCCTGCAGCACGCTCCTGCCTCTGGTCAGTACAGCACTGGGAACCCATTGCAGCAGCTTGAAGAGCAACTCGCGTCCCAGTAAGTCCCGGTGAGAAATGGGAGGACAAGAGTTTGCGTTAGCCAGAACCGTGATTCCCTTAAGGTCAGGAGCAGCAGCTGCTGCTGTCACCGACCCCATAACTTTAAATAATCTTAGCTATGGCCGTACGGCATTTGTGTGTTTGTGGCACATCTGAAATGTGATTAGGGCTTG